AAATTTAACACAATGCCAGTTACATAGAAATGGGTTAATAAGTATTATTACTTATAAAGTGCTATGTAAAGATAAAGGCTTAATATTTTATATCATGACCAAATTCTACATGGAAAAATATAATGCCTAATTTACATGGGGATTAAGTACAGTATATCAAGACATTAAATGACACAAATAAGGTCATATTTAATTATAAGACGTATTTCCTTGCCCTCTTTAGACTGGGGTATATTTACCATAATAACATCAATAGAAATCATCTACACCTATTGTTTTGAAACACTTAACATTCACCGGGCACTATGTTAAATGCTTCTATACATTTTTGTGTTTAATTCTAATAATACTCCTGAAGATGGTCTCTATGTTTCCCATTTTACAGATAAGGAGACTGGATGTTTAAAAAGTTAATAACTTTTTGAAGTGGTGGAGCCACCATTTGGGGGGGGCGGAGGAATGAAACCAAAGCTGTCCTACTACCTGGGCCATGCTGCTTATTAACCATGATGCTGTATCACCTCTCACAATGTAATATTGCCAGCATAATAGTATTTGTCAATTAATTATTCTCCATTTTTCACACAACCAATTAAGTAATCTCTAATGCTTTATCCAATGCTGAGCTACCTACTAAGGGGAAAGAAGAGGAAGAGGTATTGAGTGCATGCATTAATATTTTTTATTAAAGTTATTGGGGTGACATTGGTTAATAAGATTATATACATTTCAAGTGTACAATCCTGTGATACATCGTCTGTATATTGCATTGTGTGCCCTCTACCCAAAGTCAAATCTTCTATCACCATACATTTGACTCCCTTTACCCTTTACTACCACTTCTACCCCTCTTCCCTCTGGTAACCACAATACTGTTGTCTGTGTTTATGATTTTTATTTGTTTGTTTTCCGTATTTTTTAAGTGCCAAGTACTGTACATTATCTCATTTAATTTTCACAATAGTTTTGGAGTTAGATATTAGTATACCCACTTTACATATGAAGAAGATAATTAAGGTACCCAAGGTCAAATAGCAAATAACTAGCTTGTTACTCTAATTCCCAAGAGCAGTTCCATATGATGTAAAGGTTATGATCTAAATATGGATATAATCATATGTACATGAAAGGTAAAAGAAGTTGATTTGATTTCCAAATGAACTTGGGTGGGGTACCAGCTGCCTCATGGCAGTAGATCTGTCTCATTTACAATTGTACCCACAATCACCCAGGCACAGAGTTGGTGATTAATAAGTAGTTGTTACATGTTACATGGTTGAACATGTCCTCTCTGTCCTCCAAGCATTTGATTGGGGCCTGTGGAAACTGAAGTACTTTTAAGACGTAATTAATATATATTTGGCTAAGACTCATTTCTCAAGAATTTCTTGGCATAAATAAGGAGCTATAGATGTGAAAGGGAGGGAACTGAATGAGATCAGAGCCTTCGCAGGGGAAGGCTGACTGGCAGAGCACCAACAGACTTCACAGGGAGGCACCTTGTGGGGGGGACTATGGCATACCAGACTGGCATATCCTGATACATGATCTTGTTCATGTCCCAGAAATAACTGCACTTACACATGCTGAGTCACATAACCAAAATTTATAAGCTACAAAGCATAAACCAAAACATGTTTATAATTTACATTAAAAACTATAGCTGTCAAAAGAACTACATCAACTTTTATGCCAAAATAATGGATTCTTTCTCTAATAAAACACATAGAAAGTCCTAGCATAAAAATGTTGCTTGGTGTACAAGGATTAAAAAACAGAGGAAGTGTGTGATTTAATCATTCAAGTGCACTGAGCTGTTTTCATAAGAAAATAACAGTCTAAGCACTTTGCATTTCAACTCTACAATAGCTTTATAAAATGGAACCACTTGTATCCTTTCTTTATAGATTAGGAAACTAAAATTTGGAAATATTGGGCAACTTGTCTCAAAATATCACTAAACGCTGTAATCTTTACTTTAAACATCAAGCTCTTAATCTTTATGCTATAATCTTGTATCTACTATGAATTAGCTGGACATTCAGCACACAAAGAGTAAGTGGTAAACACTATTCCTGCCCAAGCAGGACTTACAGACTAATGAAAAAGGCAGATACTCTACAGCTGCTTATTCACATAGTTAAGTCTTTAATTATAATTGTGCTGAATCCACCAATATGAAGTGCACCTTCATCAGGTGGACAGAAAGACCTTCTTTGAGGAAATGAAATTTTAGTTCTGATGTGTAAAATCTGACAGATACCATGGGCAAGGGAATAGCATGGGTGGCAAGGAGCTAGGCTAACTGAAGAGAATTAAGGAAACACAGGGAGCCAGGGAGACATCAGTTTAAAGAGGTAGACTGAGCCTGGTTTTAGGCCTTCCTAACCACTCACAGAAGTTTGAATACAAAGCCATTAAAGAGTTTTCATTTCAAAAGTGCTTAAAACAGAATCAGGTCAGACATATGATTTAAAACAATGGGAATATCTTCCCAGTGGAGAATGAATTAGATAGGTGCAGGGAATCTAGTTAGAAGGTTGCTATGGTCCAGCTAGAGGTAAAGTCACTTTATGCTATTTGGAACCACAAAGCCAGCCACGGATAAATGTTTTCTCAGTTCTACATTAAGGACTCAATCCTTTTAGAGACAAGCAATGAATCTGTGCTGATACTCATGGTCTCCAAGCAAAACCTCTCAAGAAAATCATACACATATGTAACTGTTGTTGCTTATTCAGTCAATACTCAGAAGATTTAGATCCAGGAAACTGTTAAACATGTAAACGATTTTAAATGCTAGCATAATCAGTCTGGTGATGTTTTCTCTATCAGAAAATTTTGAATCATTAAGAAAAACTCTCAAATAATAGTTGGCATTTGTTGTTGGAGTCAATAAAACAAGCTGTTTCTCTAGACTTGCTGACCTTGAGAGCATTGATGGATATTGTGCTTTTGATAGAGGATGATAGCTGAATGTTTGTGCACATGTCTTTTTTTGCTAGTCAATAGTACCCAAAGTTCAGTTGAGGAGCAGAGGCCAAGCACTTTTGAAGATATGTTTAATCATTTAGATAGTAGAAAGTTTGGTAGGCAAATACTCAATTTAGGTAAAAAATATGATACAGAGTATGTCTCTGGGGTGAGTACTATATGAGAAAATAAAGAATCTGGTTGAAGAAAAGTTTTAGAAAATAAACAAGCCCCAAACTGATAGTACAGCCACTAGTCAAATGTGGCGGTCAAGCACTTATAATTTGATTAGTCCTAATGTATATGTTTAGTATAACATAACCATCATTTCAAAGACTTAGTACAAAAAAAAAAGAATGAAAAGTCTTTCAATAATAATATTGATTACAAGTTGAAATGATAATATTTTGGATTTATTGGTTTAAATGAAATATAATACAAAAATTGATTTGACTTGTTTCTTTCTCTTTTAAAAATGTGGCTGTAGACAGACCAGTGTGACTCAGTGGTTGGGCATCAATGCATGTGATCCATGCACCAGGAGGTCGCCAGTTCAGTTCCTAGTCATGCACATGCCCAGGTTGTGGCCCAAATCCCCAGTGGGGGGGTATGCATGAGGCCGTCAATTGATGTTCTCTCTCATCAATGTTTCTATCTGTCTTTCCCTCTCCTTTCCTCTCTCTCTAAAATCAATAAAAAACAAACATTTTTTAAATAATAAAATAAAAATGTGGCTGTAAGTAAATTAAATTATATATGTAGTTCACATTACATTTTATTGGACAGCACTGGTATGGAGAATCAAGAGTAAGGTTATTATTGCCTAAGGAATCTGAAGTTTTGTAGGAAAACTTGAATAATTCTTCATTTATAAAAAATTTTAATGTATGGAGAAATGAGAGAATATAGAGTGTGTGAAACATGAGGTTGTGCCATAGTAGTCATCAAGCTTGAGGATAATTTGAAGACTGAATAGCCCAAAATAATGATCAAGTAGTAACTTTCTGTACTGTAACACTGTACAATGCAATGTCTGAATAATGGTAGACCTATTCCAATTTAATACAAAAACAAAATGAGAATGGTTTTTCCAATGAATTTACTACATAAAAATGTTAAGAAATAATGTCCTTTGAAACATACTTAAGAGCAAAGCAATCCATTAGAATTTATAATCAAGCTGGGAGCAAAATGTTATTAGTATTCCACAGTAATTAAGCAACATTCTCTCAATCTGTAGAGTAATTCATTCATTCATTTATTCATTCACTCAGCAAACAGTTTTAATGTTGATAGTGATTAGGACAGAGATGAAATGAAGATACTGTGATACTAAAAGCCATCTACCCATTCTCAGGAATGCTGAGGAGATTTGAATTTGATTTAACAGCAACTTAACAAAATAGAAAATTAACTCTGGAAAGAAACAGGAGCATAGTAAAAGATCCACTGTTGCCTCTTTACACATTCTAATCACCATTTATTTATCTTTGCAAATGGAAAAGACTGTCTAAAACTAGATCTAACTTGAATTTCTAGCTAAGTGTTCTGCATGTGGTTTTTCAAAAAAGAATCTCCATTTAAATATACCTCCTACACAAAATGAATTCAAACACAAAATGATCTCTAGCAAATACCATACCACACATTAAGTAAGCAGGTAAACCGGCTTGGAGGCATTGATGGTATAAATTTCCTCCCATCAGATGGTATGGCCCTTCCTCTTTATTCTCACATAGCTTTGACCTTTGCCACTGATAGTGTTCTGATCCTGCCACTCCAGGTCGTGGATGTCATCAAAGGCAATAACCAGCACTTTTGGTAATAACTTCTCTTTAAAAGTAAGTGATTTTTCTTTTGAGTACTTTGGTTTGGGGTGGGTAAATGTTCAGTTAGCTTATTTGTGGCCTCTTTTCAAAAACCTTCAATGTCTCACTCATTTATGATGGATAGAATTTTTTATTTGTCATTTCTTTCTTCTACCTCTTTATCATAGCTATAATGTATTCGAAGATGGGTCTAGTATAGTGGAGCTGAAATGAAGATGCATTGACATCAACACTAAAGAGAACATGCTCCATTCTAATAGGTAATCTCACAAACAGCATTATTTCTTATAGATATCATGAACATTGACGACTATGTTATAAGGGTGAAGAAATAAAAATTTTAAATGTAATTTAAAGTGCCTTTCCTAAAGCCAAAATGTGCTAATAAATCATTTTACACACACACACGACTTTCTTGAGCCCTGTTGGGATTTAGGAAGCATTATGAATTAGATAAATTATCTAGTGAGCTAGCAACAAATTCTATGGTCCTGTTCATACAGTCTTTTCCTCCAAGGCAAACTTTGTCTCAAGGGTATAAAGTGTCAAATTATTTCCTTTTTCAAATTCATACTAGTTTCTATTTTTTGGTTATGCCTAATTTCTTTTTTAAGTTTGAGTTGTGTTCAAGGAAAATTATAACCCCTTTGATACAGTCCTGTGCTAATAAAAGGCAGTCTTTGGGCACAAAGAAACAAACAAACAAAGAAAAAATGGGACTTAACAGCAAATGTATTTTGAATTAAAACATTAGAAGAAAAATAATAATCATTTTCTCAGATAGACACCAAATTCAATAATCTATGTTCAACCATGTATTTTCAGCTATCTTGATAATCAAATGAGCAGCTTTCATTAAACAATTTGTGGAGGCTGTGATATGATCCTTGGGTCAAGATATTAGAAATACCACAGAGCTTCTGAAAGGTTGCCCTTTAATTCACATTTTGCCCACCAGCCCTTACCAGCCCTAATACTATCTAGCTTTATGAAAAAAAACAAAAAAAAAAAAAAAACAAAAAAAAAAACCAGGGAAAATTTGAGCTTCCAGAGAGTAGAAGTTATTTTATATTTCACAGAGCCAGGAAAAAGTTTCAATGTATTTTATTTTATTTCAATATATTAAATAATTATTAAAATAACAAGCTAACATAAGCAGAATGATGAAAACATTGTAAAAAAAATAGCTTTATTTGTTTGATATGGATTTGTATCTGTCAAATAAAAGAATTAGAAGAATTCTCTGGATTATCTAAATAGTCCTCAAATAAACTTCAGAGTTGAGGAAGGAATATAAGGAGGCAATGGTATAGAAATTCTGAGATTTAAGCTCTTCTATAGTTTGTAAAAGCCTGAGAAGATTAACTATATACTATTTCTATATGAAGTCATGGCAACAAATCAATATTAATAATAACACTGCTTCCTAGAACTCTCCAAAGAGTCCATTAAAGTTTTGTTGGAAGTGGTTGTTTTAAAGCCATAACCATGAGAGATTCCAGACAAGCTCACACACCTCTGCCATTGTACTGTCCATCATGGCAAAGCATGGTCAAGTCTTTTATCCAAGACTGAGCATGGACTGGCACAGGGTCCTTCCACCTAGGCTAACAAGCTGAGTGCATTCTTTCACCCCACATTCATTTAAATGGCATAAAATTTCTCACACAAGTGGAACAGATCTTGGGATTTGGACAAATATGAACAATATCTTTGTTTTTGAAAAGATTTGAGAATGAATCCAAACTAATAGAGCTGAAACTCCTGTATCATGCTGGGTAGCAACATAACCCTTCTTTCCATTGGAGAATGAAAGAAATGTAATTACAGCTTGGGCTCTACACCAAACAAAGTGAAGTAGAAAACTGAGCATATACATGTCTATTATCTAGTATTTCAGGTGGGGCTTGGAGCTAAATGTCTTCATTCTCCTCAGGTCTCCAACTCCACTTTGATTAAGGCAACGACTATAGTGTGTGGATCAGCTCCCACAGTGGTTGCTGCCAAGGTTGGCGGCAGGTTGACTCCCTTTAGCATGTGAGTTGGCTTCCTCTGCCACACTGCTAGTTGCAAACTTTTTCTGGACTCAAGAGTTGGGAGCCAGAATGGCCTCATCTTGGCAGTTTAGCTACAGTCAATCACATTCCTGCATCCTAGATCAGCGATTTTCAACCTTTTTTATCTCATGGCACACATAAACTAATTACTAAAATTTTGTGGCACACCAAAAAATATATTGTTTGACAATGTGACAAAAAAAAATTTAGGTATAATTTTGATTGATTTACAAAAATATAATAGTAATAACCTACTTTTTCTGCTCCAAAGTGACTTTTATAAAATCAGGTGCCTTACATGTATATAAAAATTTCTGGTACCAAGAATTAACCAATTACACACAATTTTATCATGCTATTTCACCAATAAAATGCAACTCTGTTATATGACCTATATATTTATGGCTCAAGATAGGGCATTTACATGGGATGGCCACTGTTGTGTGGGCCGTTGTCTTTTTTTAATTTGACAACCTAAGGAAAAAGAGGGCAGTGTCCCTGACTACTCAGGTATTGCACGTTTTAAAAGTTCTTGCAGCACACCAGTTGAAAATGGCTGCACTAGATGGTTGTCATTAGTACCTTCACATGTGGTTGAGCCTTTAACAACAAGGGGTTTAGGGGTGCTGAACCTTTACTTAGTCGAAAGTCTACCACTTGACTCCCCCAAAAACTTAACTATTAATAGCCTGCTGTTGACAGGAAGCCTTACTGATAACAAAAATAGTCAGTTCATACATATTTTTTATGTTATAGGTATTATATTCTGCATCTTTACAATAAAGTAAGCTAGAGAAAAGAAAATGTTATTAAGAAAATCATAAGGAAAACAAAATGCATTTACAATATTTATTGACTTTTTTTTTTTATCCTCTCCCGAGGACATTTCTCCACTTTTTGTTCAGATAAAGTGGGAGGGAGGGAGGGAGGGAGGGAGGGAGAGAGAGAGAGAGAGAGAGAAACATCAACGTGAAAGGGACACATCCAGTGGCTGCCACCCACACGACCAACCAGGGCCAGGGACAAACCGCAACTGAGGTACGTGCCCTTAGCGGGAACCGAGCCTGGGTCTCTCTGGACCACAGTCCAACGCTCTAACTGCTGAGCCAAACTGGCCAGGGCTACAATATTTATTAAAAAAAATCCCCATATAAGTGGATCCACGCAGTTCAAACCCATGTTATTCAAGAGTCACCTGTACATCACCTCATTTGACCCTCACAGTAATGCTGTAGGATTGAGGAAGTAGTTATTATTATGTCTGATTTTGTGTATTAGGATCCTGAATATGTTCTACTTCCCCATTTGACTCACTGATTTCAAAATGTTGATGAACCCTTCCAACAGCGAGAGACACTTGATGGAAACATGAAGGATTCAGTCAAACTGGTTATTTGGCATCATTTAGACCATTATTTCTCAATCCACAAGTGCATGATGGCATTTGGTGTGCTGGCAAGGAACACGCCCTGGTGTGTGTCACAGCCCAAGGTTTCCCCATTACCATGGGTTTCTTGTCTTATCTGTCTAGCTTCTAACTGTCACTGCAACTGTGTCTCATTCTTCAGCCTGATGTTACATGACGAAGATCAGAAGTTCCTAATCCATAGGAGTCCTCGGTAGCAGGTAAAATCAAGAATGAACACAACCAGGAGACAGTCGGGTGTGATAATCATTGTAAAAGGTCCACAGGGAGGCTGCCTGCTTTCTTGGGGTGCTGTCACCTGTTGGCTCTGTGACCTTGGGCTGATCTTTTTTATTTTTATTTTTTTTCTTTATTGATTTTAGAGAGAGAGGGAGAGAGAAGTAGAAATATTGATGAGAGAGAACATCAATTGGCCGCCTCCTGCATGCCTCTCATTGGGGATTTGGCCCAACAACCTGGGCATATGCCCTGACCAGGAATCAAACCTGTAACCTCTTGGTGCATGGGTTGATGCCCAACCACTGAGCCACATCAACCAGGCCTTGGTCAGATCTTAAGTCTCTCTAAGCCTCTGTTTTTGTTTGTTTGTTTGTTTGTTTTTTTCATTGATAAAATGAGAATAATAACTGTAACTACTTCATGAAATTTCTTTGTGATTTAAATAACATATGTGAAGCATTTAGAACAGTGCCTGGCACAAGCCAAGCATTCAATAGACATTTGCTATTAGTTATTTCAAAAATGATTTAAATTATATAACATTTACCGATAGAAAATTGTCTTCAACCAGATAGCAAAGGTATGGAAAGTTATTTAGTGTCAAAAGTAAATTAAGAATTTCTAGAAGTCGGCCTTTTATTAGTTGCAGCAAGGACCTCTGCGATTACTCTTACTCATTCTTAGATTAAGTACTGAAAGAGTTTACACTGCATTCAGTGTTTTATATGTGGCTTAATCCTCTCTCACACCCTATAATCTTCCCTATAACCATGTAACATTATTATCTTCACTCTCCCATCAAGGAAACCAAGAGACAAAGCTACTAAAAATAACTTACCCAAGGTTAGGAATCTCGTTTGTGGTGAGGCTGGACTTCAATCTCAGGCCATTGGAGCTCTCGTAGGATGAGCTGATGTTGTTCTGCCTTTAAGAGACATGATTTAAACAATGCCAAAGAGGATAAGTTGCACATTTTTAAAAAATTTGTCATTGGGTGTCCACAAGAGAAATCATCACACCACTAGAAACCTATAGTAAACTTGTTTGTTTGGTTGAAGCATCAGTTCCTGTTTGTTTTGTGAAATGCTGGGTTAGACTATAGGATACCCCCACTTTTAGCTTTGCCATGGACACATGGTTTCTGGATATTTAGGTGTTCTGGCAACTCACAGGTGAGCAAAGACTTAAAATAATCGAAAATTTTTCATTAAAATAAGACCAAAAGATGAGCCTTCATACTAAACTAAGTTCATTTTATTTTCAGAACTGGGCTATGGCAAGGTAATTTTTATGTGAAAAAAAAAATAGTTTAATAATGCTCAGAGTTAGCGTAGTGTATTTATTCCTGCCCACACTTTCTCAGCACTCTTGGAATGTTAGTCAAATTTGTATTAGGGTATTATTTTCGTTTCACTAATCAATGCTGATGTACAAAATTAATCTGTTATTATTAAATGTTTTATGGCAGACATTCCCATGATGTGGTTGCTTTTAACAACAACCTGTTTGATTTGTGGAACTTTAAATGCTGAGAGATTCTTCAATTTGGAAAATGAAGCGAATCCTGAAGTGTGGATGAATATTGTAAGTCATGGAAAATTTTTTAAAAATGTCAAATAAAGCAGATTAATGGGTCATGACATTATTAAAGGTTCTATTGTAGCTGAAAGACTCTGATGATAAAACAGGTGATTTTAAATGTTTCTCCGAGAGTCAAGGTAGGTAGAGCTGCTCTTTGGCTGAATAAATAGTAATGCAAAGCGGAACTGTATTTTTATAGACAATTTATATCTTAATAATATTAAGAATTTATATTTTAAGCTGCCTGGATAATATTTATAACTGCCCTCTACTGGGCTATGACTTTATTATATTTAAACCAAAGGGGATCTCAAAAGACAACTGACTTGAGAATATAGTTTTGTCAAAAGAATGGGTCAATGCTAAATATTATCTCCCTCCCTCCAGAGATGCCAATAGTAGACATTTTCTAATACTCTGCTTATTTTTTTTATCAAGAATTTATGTAATAAATTAATTTATGGTCACCTGGGGCTACGGATTACAGATAATTCATCCCAATAAACATACACCAGGTGCTTTGTTCTAATTTCCTTTGTTAACCTTTCAAAAAGATGTTTAGCTCATGCCTGTGTTTTCACTTGGCAGAGTGAAATCATCACCTATAATGGCTACCCCAGTGAAGAGTATGAAGTCGTCACTCAAGATGGATACATCCTCAGCATCAACAGAATTCCCTATGGGCGAAGAGATACTAGGAGCATAGGTACAAGTTGTGTCTCTCCTGACACAAAGGATTGGATATGGCTTTTCCTTAAGAGAGTGACTGATTTATCAAAATCTGATTGAATTTTGCATTAGTCTTTAAATGGTTAACAGGGAGTCTCATTCCTTTCCAATTCTCTGAAGACTTCCAAGAACCTAAAAATAAAAAGGGCAAGACTGACCTTGCTAACCACACTAGGCTTGCTTGTTAGGGTGGAAATGCAAAGGTGAGCTCATTACTGATTTTTCATGTGATAAATTTCTGTATTCCAGGAAAGCAGATTTTCTCACTGTTGTTGGAAATGGATTTGTTGGGTTGTATCAGGTTGGTTGTGGGGTGCCCCAAAACAGTCTCTCTGGCCCTCACTAGAATCAATAGGCCTCCCTCTTCAGGATAAAAATTCAGCTTAAATGACTGGCATTTCTGAAACTTTTTCCAAGAAAGAAAACTGTAACATTCACATATGCTTTGACCTAAGGGACCGATGGTTTGTGGAATGAAAGTGCATGGTGTTAATATGAGGAGCCAGCCATGCACAAGCAGAGGAATTACACTGTTTAAAGGGGAAAATACAGCTGCAATCCCTCTGAGGAGGGAGAGGAAAGAGTAGACAAAATCTCTGCAAAGCCTCAGCAGCAGATCATTCACCATGACCACTCTGCATCACCTCTCCCACCATCACATTCAGAGGTAGCTATAATCATGTTGTTGACATGTTCTCCCTCTGAGAAAGAAATTTGTAATTCAAGAGTTTAAAAAAGGGGGAGGAGTGTGATAAGAGTAGGATTACCTGACAAAGCATGAGACACCCAGTTAAAGTTGAATTTCAGATAAACAACAAACTTTTCGTATATGTCTCACTTGAGGATATAGTCCTCAGATGAAAGAGTTACTAATTGTTTATCTGAAATTCAAATTTAATAGAGCTCCCTGGGTCTTTTTCTTTCTCCTTTTTGTTTGTTTGATTTTGGCTAAATCTTACATCACTTGGCAACTAAATCTCCTCCAGGCCTTGGGGAGAGGGAGACTATGAAATACAGAAGGAGCAATTGTTTGAAAGAAAGGTTTTGTTTCAGGAGGGAGAGTTTGGGAAGATTTGGAATTAAAAGTCGTTTTTTAGGTGTGTCATTCCAAAAGCTTTATATTAATTTAAATCAGTTAAACCTCCTAGCAACCCAATTAGGTCAATACTATCAATAGTTATCATTTTACAGATGATGAAATGAAGGCAAAGAGGTTATGAAATAGACTTGAAGTCACACAAACAGCAAGTGGCAGAACCAGAACTCAACCCCAGGCAACCCAACTCCAGAGCCTGTGCTCGTAACAATTAAGTTAGAGTGTCTTTTGGGGGCATTTCACCCTGGTTCTTCTTGTCTCCCCGAATGAATACTCTCTCCATTGGGGATTTGAGAGTTGGCAAAGGGATGCTGAGATTATTTGCTGTTATGGTTTTCAAACCTCTCCAGTGGGTAGAGGCTGGGTGTTTGGTTTGAAGCTTGGTGAGAAATTAGTGATTGTCCATTTACACTCACCCTTTCTTCCTCCTTGGGAGAAGGACTGGAAGAGGCACAGGACTCCATTAAACATGGTCACATTCATGTCTTTGTAGGCCAAACCCAGAAGATATGTAGATATGAAAACACGGGGCAGAGCAGTTACAAGCACATGCTTTGGCATAAAACAAACAGAGCTCGAGTCCTGGCTCTGTACCTTGTTAGCTGGGTGACCCCTTGGGACAGTTATTTAACTACCTTAAGTCTCAGTTTCCGCACCTGTAAAATGAGGATTGTCAAAATAGTAGCTACTTTATAGAGTTGTAAGAATTTAATAAGTTCAAGCATATCAGTCAGTCAGCATCACACCAGGTACAAAGTATGTGCTCAAGACATTTGTTATATGATCATAAAGCTCTACAATAATGACGAAAAAAGTGAATGCTGTGTTTGCTTTTTCTGGTGTGTGTGTGTGTGTGTGTGTGTGTGCATTTCTATTGTGTTCCTGTCATGTTCTATTGATCATAAGTTGTTTTCCATTATCTATCTCTGCGCTTTCTCTTTTCCTCCCTTGCCCCAGGTCCCCGGCCAGTTGTGTACCTGCAGCATGCACTGTTTGCAGACAATGCCTCCTGGCTTGAGAATTATGCCAATGGGAGCCTTGGATTCATTCTCGCAGATGCAGGTTATGATGTCTGGATGGGGAACAGTCGGGGGAACACTTGGTCAAGAAGACACAAGACACTGTCAGTGGATGAAGAGGAATTCTGGGCCTTTAGGTAAACTGTATCAATTTCTTTGAATATAATAGTGTGGATGATATAAACAACAATCTATGATATCTGAAGTCACAGTTCCTTGTAGTTCCTACTAACATCTCAAAGGACAGAAAGAGCAAGAAGCTTTGATTTCCACTGATTCTTCCATAGTCAAATTATATCATTTAACGCAATTATTTTAACATCCAATTCTATCCAATGCTATACATTAAAAGTATGTTCCAAGGGACAGCTCAGAAAATTCTTACGGCCAATGTATGCATGCACTCAGTATTTATTGAGTGCCTACTATATGCACTATTCTAGGCCCTGAGCATTCAAGAGGGAGCAAAACTTCTCTTCGTTCCAATGCTGCTAATACAAGTCATTGCTCTTGGACAGCCCATCAGTTTCACAGTGCTGTGTATCGGTACTATATTTCACTTAAAGAAACTATGGTTGAACTGAGTGGAATACCATTTACAGAGACATTTTGATATGCTGACTGTTTCTTTTAGTGAAAGTGTTTGTTGCTGTCGCCAGAGGACAGGCTGATGCCCACAGCAGGCCTCCCTTCTCAGGCCTAAGCTCCCTGTTCATAGGCCAGAATAGAGAGGGCATTCCTGCCGTATTAATGACATACTCAGACCCACTGGCAGGTTGAGAAAAAAGGAAGGATAGACTAAATTGTTAGGATCTAAGCTTTTGGGCAGTGTGCAAGCATCAGGAAATACTTTGTGTCACTGGTCCTTGACTGGGAGCTGGGATCTTATTTACTGTAAGTAAGGCATTCCAATTCCCGTACTTGGGAGTATCAATCTAGAGATTTCTTCACATGTTATTTATAAACAGTCCTCTATGCCATAGGGTACCTGACTCATCTAAGTGTTATGTGCTAATTGTTCTTCTGTATCAATGCCAGCTGAACTGGTACTATAATATTTTGGTATATGTTGAATGCATTTTTCTTTATATGGGCAGAAATATTAATAAGAGCAACATCTAATTGAGTGCCTACTAGCAGTCAGAGTCATTTCTTTAATACTATTCAGTCCTTTATAACATCCCTGATATATAGCAGGTGCTATCATGTTCATTTCATAGATAAGAACACTTAAGCTTAGAACATTTAAGTAACGACTCAAAAGCTAGTACATGCTAGAATTATGATTTACAACCATTTTGTTTCCAAAGTGGGGGTATTACAATACCCCTAAGTGTCTGAAGTCCCCTGGGGGAGTCTAAAGTAGAGGCATGCAAACTAGATTGGGGGAGGGAAGGGAAACACACAGAGTAATAGGGAATGAAGAGGAGGCATGATAAGACTGAACTTCAGATACTATACACAAACCTTGAAATCATTCCTGCTATTATAAATGCAGCAAACAAAAGCTAAAACAGCCTAGATATAATTGGATAAATAATAAAATATACACCAAACAAGTAGATAGTACAAAATTCTATGTGTAAAAAAATAAGTGAGCAGATGCTCTGAGTTTCAAACTTACTTGAGAGTATTTATAAGCCCCTGTTTTATTTTGCAGTTTTGATGAAATGGCCAAATATGACCTCCCGAGAATAATAGACTTCATTGTAAATAAAACTGGGCAGGAGAAGTTGTATTTTATTGGACATTCACTTGGCACTACAATAGGTATGTTTGCAGGGGTCGATGTTTTACAAGGGTCAGATAGTTCACCTTCAAATTGGAACAGAGTTACTGCCATTAATAGTGTCCTTAATTCTCTGCCCTGTACTTAGCTTATAATCCTAGAGCCCTAAGTGGCCATATACTTGAATTTCAGAGACTGTACATAGGCCAAATCTTTTCTCCATTTCTGATCACCATTTGTAATGGTCATGTAATTTTCCAGAATAACATAAAATATACATCCAAAATCCAAAGAAGTATCCCAAAGAGTAAGTTTTTAGACTCCCTCTGGGATGATAATGTAAAGCCTAATGACACAAAATAATCCCTGAAGAATATAAGTACACATCAATCATGCCTTCCTCATAACCCACATGGGATTTTTAATAAATAAATAAAAGGAAGGAGCTTATATTTATTTATTTATTTATTTATTTATTTTTTATTTATTTTTTTTTATCCTCACCCGAGGACATTTTTCCATTTTTTGTTCAGATAGAGTGGGAGGGAGAGAGAGAGAGAGAAACATCAATGTGAAGGGACACATCGAGTGGCTGCCACCCGCACGACCAACCAGGGCCACGGACAAACTGCAACCGAGGTACGTGCCCTTAGCGGGAACCGAACCCGGGTCTCTCAGGACCGCAGGTCGACGAGGAGCTTATATTTATATTTGAACAAATTGAAAAGAGGTGATCATACTTTTTTGAGTTATAACATGAAAGCTTACTATAATAAATCAACTGGGCTAATCTATTTAGCATATAATATAATATTATTGAATATCAATTAAATGTAAAAACTATGTAAAAAAAATTTAAGTCCAAAACCCTGCTCTTTGAAAACATACTTCTTAATAATTTCCTAGATCGTTTTTTGGGGAAAAATTAGTAATCTATTTCCAAATAAAAATGTAAAGAGATCCATACTGTGAAAAATGTGAATGTGTAAGTGATCTTCCACTGACTTTCTAATTTTAAAATATGAGTTATGTGAGATTATTTAAGTACAGGTGAAACTGTGCAAGAGACAATGAAAATTCTTACAGTTATCTCATAATTGCCATTATTATCAACAACAAATATATATTTATCAGTGCTTTATATTGATTGGCAGCTTACAAGCTTAGAACAGGCAGTGAGCATCAGAGAGCATTCTATAAGGGTACCAAAGAGTTAATAGGAGATGCACCCTCCCTCCAAAAAAACAAACAAACAACCATCACTAACAGGTAAATAATTGCACTATCATAGTGAATACTTATTGAGCATTTACTAGGTTTAGGACCCTGTGTGCAGGAATTTCCCAGTAATCTCTCTCTTTAAGCTTCAGAAGAATGCTTCTATTAGTATTTCTATCTCACAGAAGAGGAAACATCAATTCAAAGAAATTAAGTGAATTGCTCAAGGTCTCTTAGCACATAAGAGACAGAACACAGATTCAAACCAGGTCAGTTTGACTTCATTTATAAGGTCCTTGGGCGTTGGATGGAGCAGGAATGACTTGAGCGCTATCTAGAAAACTGGGTAAGACTTAATATGCTCTTATATATGTATTCTGCAAAGAAAACAGAAAATTTAATCATCAATGTTCTGCATTGCATTTAGGGCACACACATTTTTAGTAAGGATAATTTGCATATAGGGCAGAGCAATTCTTGTTTTGTGGGAAAGACCCACTCTTTGCAAGACACTTAGCTATCCAGGCCCCAACTCACTAAGAGATAATAAGGCTACCCAGTCAGTGACCAACAAAAAACTCACAGAGATTTTTGGGGAACTATTATGACTGTTTCAGAGCCTGTATCAATTGCTCAGTAAGTTAACACAAAGCCAACTCTTCTTTTGTCTGGGACAGTTTCGATAAAAATTTCAGAAGGAAAATAAAAAACTTCTGCTATGGCTGCGTGCACACACACACACACACACACACACACAATGTAGGAGGCCAAGAAGGCACCTTGGGAAACCACAATACACAGAAATTCCACCTAGCTCTTCCGTGTGGTGCTGATCTCCACCCTCATCCTCACAGGGTATAATGGGCACAATGCTATTGCTTAAAGATCAGAGCAAAGGGAGACACCTGGTTCTTCCTGGGACCACAGTGGACTAAGGGAATTCCCCTTTCCTCTTGGAAGCAGGAAAAAATTCTGGAGGGATGGTAAGCATCCAGTGAAGCAGTGGGAGCAGTGAAATCTCATTCCATTGTGACAAAGAACTGGACTAATTCAATGATGCTGCAGAAAGACCTTAGTGAGTCACCTCCCTTGAACTGATTCTTTACATCTGGAAGCTCTGGGACTCATTCTCGCACCTCCCTGTGGGGGGTAAAATGGCAGTCTTGCCAGCAGTTACCCCATGCTTTGAAAGTGAGGTTGTTCTTAGTTCACTTGGCAGTAGTTGCTTCAGCAGCTCATCCTTCACTTCCCCCAAGCAAGTTAAATTGTCCAGAATTTAACAAAAGAAAAAGGAGAGGACGGAAGGCAGATTGTCTTTGCAGAATAATTCAGAAGAGTCTCCCGATTCATTCCCAAGATCTTTCCAACAGAAGGATAAAAATGATAGCGTCCCACTTTTCTTAACAGAAACATTGCGTATTTCTCATTTTTACAAGATTGTCTTGTCTCCTGTTCTCTCAGGTTTTGTAGCCTTTTCCACCATGCCGGAAGTGGCACAAAGAATCAAAATGAATTTTGCCTTAGGTCCTGTGGTGTCATTTAAATATCCCAAGGGCATTTTTACCAGTTTTTTCCTACTTCCAGCTTCCGTAATCAAGGTAGGTTCCCCATTTCACCAAAATGTTTTTGAGGGTCTACTGTCCATCCTAGATCCTCATTTGTTTTTAAATCTGCTTTTGGTTTCTTTAAAAAGGTCATTGGCACAATGGACATAGTGTTTTACCAAGATTGCACCTTAAATTTGGGATAAAGGATAAAATGAATTTTGGTCAAAGTGAAGTCAAAGAGACCAATTAGGGTATCAAAGTAATTCTTATATAAGATGAGGCCCCAGTTTAGGGAGGAGTAGTGGAAATGGAACAGAAAATTCCTTGTTGAGCCAAGACAAGGAAGAATTTCCATAGGGCCTAATGATTGGATTTCTAATAGTTTGATTGTATTGTTTACCTGAGCTCAAGTAATGTTACTTCTCTTTCATGTGGTTGATAGTTCTATTGCAAAGTGTGTTGATGTCAGTGTTGGATGTTTCTTACATTTGGACAACGCTGAGAAGACAAATTAGTTAAATTAAATTCAGAGATAGACACATCTACCACTAAGCACACCAGTTTTGCATATGTATTGCTTTGCCTACAAAGATCGGGTCTGAGGCAAATATTCTCTCTGGCTTATCTGTTTCCTATTCCCTACTGTCAAATTTCCTGCCACTTTAAGTACTATTCCCTGACTCCTCCTACCACTTCATAATATCAATTGCTGGCAGAAGCTCCAGTCCTCTCATCAGAAACTCCTCACCCAAGCTTATTTTTCCAAGGCCTAGAAGTTTTAACCATGCTGCCTCCCATGACATCAGTTTTTTCTGTCCAGTGGCACCCTCTCTTTGATGCCCTGGTCTCTATTTTTTAGTGTGCAAGCTAGCTAATCTGGACACTACTAGAAAAACAATGCACACGTGGGTAATAGGGAAAACCCTGCTTTCCCTTCCTATTCAAGGCAATATTTAACTTTAAGGAAAAACTGTTCTGCCTTTCTTGCCAATTAATGAGAAATTTAAAATGAAGCCAATGACTGATTACAGAATATGATGACAGAATTCAGGTCAGCTTCACTGTGAAGAAGTGAATTTTGGGTTGAGGGTGCTGACTGCAATCTCCTGTGTCTGGTGATCTTCCCTGGGTTCAGATAGGTTCATGAGTGGTTTCTTTGCCTGAATGACTTGCTCTCCTTGACTGCAACAGTAAATAAAATACACATGGATTCCCCAGAATCCTTATTTCTGGGATGATGAGAATGCCAGTAAGTTTGGAAACAGTTCTTGAAAAGATCATTATTTTTTATTTTTACAGAAAATTTTTGGTACCAAAGGTTTCTTTTTAGAAGATAAGTCAGAGAGGCCATCTTCTATCAAAATCTGCAACAATAAAATACTATGGATGCTATGTGGTGAAATAATGTCCTTATGGGCTGGATTCAACAAGAAAAATATGAATATGGTATGTATAAGGATTATGAGACCATTGGTTGTTTTAGGAAATTCCAGACAACAGCATGGTGTTTACCAGAGGGAAGGGGATGTGTGGGTAGTAAAGGGGGGCAAATATATTTTGATGGAAGATGATATGACTTCAGGGGGTGGACACACAATGCAATACCTAGATCATGTATCATAGAAATGTACATTTGAAAGCTATATGATCCTAATAACCAATGCCACTTCAATACATTTAATAAAAAATTTTAAAACATAATAAAAATAAAATCCTAGAAAAGAAGAGAAGCACATGCAAGTTTTGAACTTATTTCATATATGCCCTCACATGTTGGACGAACTTGGCCTCAAATAAAACTCATCCCTTAACTTGGAAATTATAAGACAGAGTGGAATGGAGATGGAATCCCTCTTCTATGAAGAAGCAGCTGTCCTGTTTCATCAACTCTCTGTTTCCTGTTATTGAGAATTTGGGAGGAGGAGCAGCGGGGTTGACACCAGCAGAGGTTGTGGTTGGATAGTCATTTCTGTCATATTCCAAATGGCAGCCAAATGAGACTGTGACCATAAAAGTAGTCCACATGTTTCTCTACCAACCCATCCTATTCCTATTTGTTAAGAAGCTAAGTTGTGTTAGACTAAAACCCGCAAGCAACTGTTGTTCAAAGCTTACTTATTTAAAGTAAAAATGTTCAATAGTTCCCTTGACTAGTGTCATTATATTCTGAGATGTTAAATTATGATTACTATTATATCTCTATAATCTTTACCAAGATCGAAGTACAGTGCACATAGAAATAATTGTTTATTAGCTTTTCCTTTACAAGATTTTATTATATTCTTACAAGAACCCACCAAATTGGTAGCATGACTTTTAGTATCTTCATTTAATAAATGAAAATACAGAAACTCAGAGATGTTAAACAACTTTCCCAGCATCACAGACATTATAATGAACATAGTTAGATCCTGAAGTACAGGCATTTTGACCTCCTGCTCTGTGACAGAGCGAGTCCATGCACCTACCACTACCCCCACTGGCACATGCCACTTCTCCTCCATGATGTCCATTGTTGCTTCTTCTACTTCAAAATAGACACATTACTTCACAGTTTCAGAGCCCGGTGCAGGCTTCTCTCAAGCAATTCATGCCACTGATCAGCCCACGGTTCACTTATGTTCAAGTGTCTGACATAAATTCAGATTTACAGATGATTCACCTGACTATTTTCAAAACCCCAGTATTTGTTTACTGATTTTTTACAGAACTGTTTTCTGTTTCTGAAATGCATTATTTATTGCAGCAGGTGACTCTTGCTGTAACATGTGATGTGTTTCCCTACAGAGTCGGATGGACGTGTATATGTCACATGCTCCCACAGGATCGTCAATACAGAACATCCTGCATATAAAACAGGTAGTGGCTTTGTCATGGAAAACTGTTCCAATCCTTATTTTCATTATATATGAAAGGAAGTGAGCAGGCCAACTCTAAGAAGCGTAACAGCTGGCTTCCATTTTGTCCTCATCACTGTCTTAATGGTTTGATTTCCCTGGATTCTAAGAGAAAAGACAGGTTCTGGTGCAGACCAAGTAGGTAACATAAATGACCCTGATCTTAAGTCAGAGTTTGTAAAGTAGGCCCTGAGCTACAGCCAGAAGTAAACTAGGAATCTGAGCTTCCCCAGAAAGAGAAATATCTGAGATTTTGACTTTCCCTAGTGAGTTTTGGTTTTCCATCAGTGTTTCCAGATCATTGCATGCTCGCTCGCTCTCTCTCTCTCTCTCTTTCTCTCTCTCTCTCTCTCTCTGTTGACCTTGTTTTTCATGATGGTAAAAATGTATTTCCATCTTTCTAGTGGTCTAGAAGCCTTATTTTCTTCCCAGTGTGCAATGTTTTTCTAAGATTTGCTGTTAACATTCATGATTCTTATTCTGAATATTATATTATTAAAAAAAACATTTATTTCAGCTTTACCGATCTGATGAATTCAGAGCTTACGATTGGGGTAGTGAAGCTGAGAACATGCGTCATTACAATCAGGTGAGTTATTCAGAATGCCCCCTGCACGGTGGTTTCGAGACATGGTAATAAAAAGTTATTTAAGAATGAGAAGAATCTTACCTGGCAATTGGTGGTATTCACATGGATAGATAGAGCTTTTTGAAAATTCTAATTTTAATGCATACTCATTGCAGAAAATCTAGAAAGAAAGGAAGCATATTCTAAGGAAATTAAATAGTTATCTCTGCCCAGAGATAACTTAGATATATCAGCATTTTGTTGCATTTAGTCCAATCTTCTCAGCATCACTACTCATACACAACTTTTAATACTTCTTTTTTATTTACAGTTATAGCAACACATAATCAATGTTACTGAGGTGTTTTTAACAATTTTTAAAGACTTCATACTAATGAAAATTGTTCTATAAAAATCTACAAAAATTTACAGAGTAAATGAATACACATTTCTTGATACCAACAGTAAGAATTGAGATACCACATTAATGTTGAAAGAGTATTATCCATCATGAAGACTTGAGTCTTAAGGCATCTTTTCCCTTCTAACTTTGCACACCCAAATTTATAGATTCCTTTGGCCCTTCTGTACTTTTAGTCAATGTTGTTGCCATCATTTCTTTCCTCAAATTGAGGGGCTAGGCTTCTCAGTGTAAATAAACTAAACACATTCAGTTAAATGTTTCCAATGTTTTCCCAGATTGACATATTTAAGGCTATTTATTAGTACAAGTGTAGATCAACTAAGTTGTTGATCAACAAAACAGTCAATTGGACCAATTTCTCATTAATGTATTGAATTGTTAGAGAAATGATTCCATTAGCTTTCAAGACAGCTACAAGAACTATGCATACTTTTATTATTTTTTCATCAGCTTGATTAAGGTGTTATTTACACACAATAAAATTCACTAATTTTACATGTTCAATTCAATGAACTTTGGCCAATATATTCATTTGTGCAACCACAACACAATCAAGATATAGGACATTTCCATGACCAACGAAAGTTTTCTCCTGCCACTCAGACTGTGTAGGTTCACAAATGTGTATATTCACAAATGCTTAAAAAAGGGTCAGAAAAAAATAAATACAACTGATGCTAACGTGATTACCTTCACAGAGGGGAAGAAAGAAAAGGTGAAGTGAATGGATGTGATGGAGTAAAGGAGGCTCTGTTTGGATTTTACATAGTTCTGTTTTCATCTGTTATTTTTATTAAGCATGTTATATATTTATATTTACAAGAAAATGGAACAAAAAATATCACAAGCACAGTTAAGACCATTAGAATCAGATTCTTTATTTTCAGCTTTTTTGAGGTAAAATTGGCAAATAAAATTTTAAGATTGAAGTGTACAACATGATAAGCATGTGATGGTGTAAATGTCTTTAGAATTTGTCAATGGTTAGCTAGTTCTATCCTACTCCAGACAAATTTTGTTTTATTTGTTTGTGATATTAGATCATTTTTATTTTTTTTATCCTAACCCAAGGACTTTTTTTTTTTTTTTGCATTTATCTTCAGATAGAGCGAAGGGAGAGAGGGAGGAAGAGAGAGAAACATCGATGTGAGAGAGACACATCGAGTGGTCACCATCCAGATCACCCCAAACAGGGCTGGAGACAAACCGCAACCAAGGGAACCGAACCTGGGACTCTCTGGTCCGCGGGCTGACACTCTAATTGCTGAGCCAAACTGGCCAGGGCTTGACTTCATTTGAAGTTAATTTTTATTACATTCTAATTTCATCAGTTTGCCCTCTCCTCAATTTCCCGGCACAATCTCTGTACCCACTCCATGTTTCTCCGAGAATAAGGGGATTAACCCATGTAAGCTTCATGAGACTAGGGATTTCCATCTCTTTTGTTCACCAATGTTTTCTCACTTACCAGAGTACCTGGCTTTTACTAGGCCCTTAATACTTATTTGTTGCATAAATAAAATTTCTTAACTCTCCTCTTAGTCAACTGAAAATGTCTGTCTTCTTGATTCTGTCCTTCCTTTCTCTCTCTGAAAATGAATATCCTCTTATATTCCAAGTTCACCTGGTGTTATGCCCTCGACCACATCTCTTCTCATTCCTTCTTACTCTTTTTATTTTCTTCTTTTTATTCACTTTTATTTATTTATTTATTAATTCATTTATTTATTTATTTTTAATCTTTATTGTTGAATGTATTACAGATGTTCCTCATTATTTCCCAATTGACCGCGTCCTCCCCACTCCCACCCCACTCCTGCCCTTTCCCACACTGTTGTCTGTGTTCATTGGTTATGCATATAAGTTCTTTGGTTTATTTCTTCCAACCTCCAACCCCCTTTCCCTTTGAGGTTTGTCAGTCTAGTAACACATTTGTACTTCTTAATCCCTTCACCTTTTTCACCCATTCCCCAAAACCCCCTCCCATCTGATAACCAACAAAATGTTCTCTATATCTATGAGAATGTTTCTGTTCTGCTTGTTCATTTTGTTTGTTTGTAGATTCAATTGTTGATAGCTATGTATTCATTGCCATTTTCTTTGTTCATATTTTTTTTTCTTTTTCTCCAAGAAGATCCTTCAACATTTCATATAATACTGGTTTGGTGGTGATGAACTCCTTTAGCTTTTCCTTGTCTGGGAAACTCTTTATATGGTCATTGATTCTAAATGACAGCTTTGCAGGATAGAGTAATCTTGGTTGTAGGTTCTTGCTTTTCATCACTCTGAATAATTCTTGCCACTCCCTTCTGGCTTGCAAAGTTTCTTTTGAGAAATCAGCTGACAGTCTAAAGGGAACTCCCTTGTAGCTAACTAACTGCTTTTCTCTTGCTGTTTTAAGATTGTCTCTTTGTCTTGAACCTTTTGCATTTTGATGATGATGTGTCTTGGTGTGGGCCTCTTGGGGTTCATCTTGTTTGGGACTCTCTACACTTCCTGGACGTGTATGTCTGTTTCCTTCACCAAGTTAGGGAAGTTTTCTGCCATTATAGTTTCAAATAGGTTTTTGATTTCTTGTTCTCTCTCTTCTCCTTCTGGCACCCCCAAGATGCGAATGTTGGCACGCTTGTTTTCCCCGAGGCTCCTTACACTATCTTCGTTTTTTTTTTATTCTTTTTTCTTTTTGCTGTTCTGATTGGGTATTTTTGTTTTTTTATATTCCAAATTGATGGTTTGCTTCTTGGCTTTACCTACTCTACTATTGATTCTGTGTAAATTATTCTTTATTTCAGTTAGTGCCTTCTTCATTTCAGACTGTACATCCATCATTTCTGACTGGTCCTTTTTTATGCTCTTGAGGCCCTCACTAAGTTCACTGAGGTTCTCACTAAGTTCATTGAGCATCCTTATAAGCAGTGTTTTGAACTCAGTGTCTATTAGGTTACTTATCTCCATTTCACTTAGTTCTTTTCCTGGGGTTTTGTTCTGTTCTTTCATTTGGGACCTGTTTCTTTGTCGCCTCATTTTGGCTGCCTCCCTGTGTTTGTTTCTGTGTATTACTTAATGAGAGGTATGGGGCTAGCTGAGACCAGAGGCTGCTTGTTTGAAAGAATTTAGGAAAACCTGAAGTCGGATCCAAGACAGGCCAATCCTATGGTTAAGCAACTGGCAACAGCTTGGGTGGGCCTGAAAGTTGGTTGGGGCAGGGCCTCAGGGAATCACCAAGGCGGGGCAAACACTGTGAACCAGGTTGCTAGAATCTCAGATATGGCGGTTGTCTGCCACCCCAGGGAAGGGCTCACCAAAGGAACAAATGCCTCTGATAGCACGTCTGTCCCAGAGAAAGCCCCCTCTCCAGCCCTCGCTGCAGTGCCAACAGCTCAGTTCTTCCCTGTAAGTCCCTGGTGCCCCTCGAGCTGCCTCCCCTCCAAGCTTAGAAGGAGCAAGTCCGAGTAAGTTTGTGCGTGGTCCCTTTAAGAGGAGCTGCCTGGGGCTCCAGCCACCTCAGCCTCCCTGAGCCTCAGTTCCCACTGGTTTTTCCAGCCAGAAGTTATGGGGATTCTCTTCCTGGCACTGGAACCCTGAGCGGGGCGCCTGGTGTGGGATGGGGACCCCTCAGTCGTCAGGGAGGACCTTTCCAGCTGAGGTGTCCTCCTGGCTTCTATCTGCCACACGTGGGTGTGGGACCAACCTGTCATGACTCCGCCCTCCTACCAGTCCCGATGTGGCTGCTTCTTTAATTCCGTAGTTGTAGAACTTCCATTCAGCTCAATTTCAGGCAGTTTTAAATGATGGTTGTTCTATAGTTTAGTTGTAACTTTGATGTGGTTGTGGGAGGACGCGATACCTCATTTACCTATGTCGCCATCTTGACCGCACGTCTTATTTTCTTAAATGAATTTCTGTCTCTTATGAAAAACAAAGAGTTGCCACAGTCTCCCTGCAACTCACTCCCCTAACTTGGACTTTCATAATGCAATGATCTCTGATTATTTTCCTTCCATTTTTGTTTGCTCTCTTTGTCCTCTGCACTGGCTACTCTATTTCTCACCACTCTCCAACTGTTGGCATTCCCCCAAGATTCTTCACATCTCTCTATCTTTCTTCCTTAGAGAACTTAGCTATCTCCATAGCTTCAACTATCCCTTTCTGTGCACCATCCACACTACTTGTCTAGAGCTTTTCAGAACCTACCTCTCACCTATTGCTTCTTCCAGTCATTCCACAAACTCATGCCCATTTGGTGCCTAAGACAGAGCTCTGAGAAATGACCCTGCTTTGTCCCCAAAACTTCTGAAACATGTCAAATCCCTTAACCTGGCATTTAGACCTTTACTGTTTGTCTCCAGTGCTTATACCCTGCTGTATTCTTTCAAATATTTTCTTTTCTTGGTATACACTAGACAGCTTGCCATTCCTGGCCATGGCATACATGTTCTTCCTGCCTGCTAGGAAGCCCTCCCACACTCCTTTCTATTTGTCGAAATCCAGCCATTGCTCAAGAGTCATTTCAAATTATTTCTTTTTATATGAAACTCCAGTTGGAAATAATTTCTTCTTTGTCTTCACTTCTATTGTCTTTGTGAAGTGTTTTGTGGCATTTAGCATCTCCCATTTTGTATACAAATGGTTGCTTGGTTATCTTGTTTTGTTTCTTCAAACTCCTTGAAGATAAAAACCATTGCATCTTTCCTTCCTATTTCCCTCAGTGCCTGACTGAATTATGAACTTGGTAGATATTGATCTGGTAGACTCTCTATGTATTTGAATGTAGTTGTTGCTGTGAGGAGCTTCCTCTCATGAATGCCCTTTCTCTTCCATAGAGTCGTCCTCCACTGTATGACTTGACTGCCATGACGGTGCCTACTGCTATTTGGGTTGGTGGAAATGATGTTCTTGTAACAATCCAGGATGTGGCCAGAATAATTCCCCAGATCAGGAATCTCCATTACTTCAAGCTATTGCCAGATTGGAACCATGTTGATTTCATCTGGGGCCTTGATGCTGCTGAACGGGTGTACAGTAAAATCATAGATTTGATGAAGGCATATTCCTAACTGCGATAATCTACTTTTCAGTTAAAACTTGCTTCCAAGCCCATGAGGCTTTGGAAAAAATAATCAACAGTGAGGCTGACTCCAGCATTCTCCACCTTGTTGATGTTACTGAGTGTTACCTTATCATGGAGTCTCAATGGGAAATTATTTCAACTGTGCTACTCTTTCTCTAAGAAATGTCCACACCTGAAATATATCTTTTCCCCTCGCTCAGAGCTAGGTCCTCTTTTTCATTCAAGAAGATCTGGTAATGGATAAAAAAGCTGTGGTACATATACACAATGGAGTACTATGCAGCTGCAAGAAAGAAAGATCTCTTATCCTTTGAGACAACATGGAGAGACCTGGAAAGTATTATCCTAAGCAAAACAAGCCAAGCAGAGAATGATCTCACTTATTTGTGGAATATAATGAACATAACAGTCTAGGGAACGGGGTAGTCCCAGAGATGTGGAAGTGGGGTACAGACTGACAATCCCCTGAAGAGGGGGTGGGGGAGGAGAGATAAACCACAGGACTTATATGCATGTATGTATGAACAATGGACATGGACATCAAAGGTGAGGACAGGGTGGGGAGGGAGGGAGAGGGGGGAATCAGTGGGGGGAAAAGGAGAAACATCTGTAACAAAAATAAATTAATAAATAAATAAATAAATAAATAATAAAAAATTTATGTAAACACACACACACACACACAAAGAAGATCTGGTAAATTTGTCTTTGCTAAATATACACTTGAGAGAGGAGTTAAAAGAGGCTTTTTTTTTTTTCTATTTCAAGTATATGTAGTGGCTTCATAAAAATAATACCTGCACCCCATGCTCTATTTCAAAGGATTGAACAAAAGTATAGGAATGCTGACCTGGAGAACAAGATCTTGTCAAGGCAGTCCTTTGGGAATATATTTTGGGTGGCTGTGATTATGTGGCTTATTTGAAATCATATTTAGGATTATAGTCATTATGGTCATCTATATACAAACCATGAAATAAAACCTGGTCCACATCAAGCATGAAAGAAAACAGCAGAATGAAAAACTAACAGAATTTAAGTATTCTGGCGCTTTTACAAGCTAGAAAAAAAAATGTGAGACAAAATTCAAAATTGAGAATGACTAAGATAAGCTAAATTACTAATTATTAAACCAATATACTTTAGGTCCCTGTCTTTAAAACAAGGTAAAATTAATAAAGCTATTTTTAAAAAATATTTTCTATTGATCTTTAGAGAGAGAGAGAGTGGGAGAGAGAGGGGGAAACATTGATGTGAGAATGAAACATTGATCAGCTGTCTCTTGTCTGATTTATTGAACCTACAACCCAGGCTTGTGCCCTGACCAGGAATCAAATCTGGCAACCCTTTGGTGCATGGGATGGTGCTCAACCAACTGAACCACACTGACCAGAGCCAAACCTTTTTGATATTAGTGTACTACAGCTTATTGACAGTAAGCAATAGTCTTCATTTATAACATATGAAAAATAATTATCTCTTCTTTTGCTCTAAAGATAAACTCAACTGATCAACCATTGTCTTTATTATCGAAGTAGAATTTACTCTACTGCGTTTGTATCTAAGTAACATTGAAAGCAGTTCCCAGAAAACCTAATTTAGAGCCAGCAAGGGAAGCACTTGTAGTATACAAATTCTTGCTTTATTTCAGTCTCTAAATGATGTCAAACATTGATTCTAGGATTTAGTAGAGTTCCAAGAGTAGCATGAAGTTTTAGTATCAGTTCAAGCTATACATTTATAATGTATGTATTTTTTTCCTGTTATATATGTTATATTTCAATACAAAGTATTTTTTAAACCCTAAGCTTTTCTGCTTTAAATTAACTAAGAAGAAAACAATGCCCCTCTTTTACCATACCAGTACTCTTTATACTTTTGCTCTGCATGTGGTAGCAAATATGTTGACTATTATGGTTCTGCTAAGAGTTCAACATAAAATATCATATTTAAAACTTATTACCCTATGAGTAGTACTATGGTCATTTTCATTTTACAGATGAGAAAATTGTAGCACAGAGAACAAATGAGGCATAAAAGTCAAATATGCCTAAGATTGCACAAGTGAAGGAGTCATGATTTTAACCCAGGAAGTCTGATATCCTCAAATCCACACTTCAGTATATACCTGTATAAATGTGTTCAGGTGTTATATAAATTACAATGGTCATATTTGTATTAACATAGAACAAAATTACTTGAAAAATTAAGGCAGGAGATGGGGACATTTTTTTTTTTTTCAAACTCTAATCATCAAATTGAGATGAGTGAATAGAACTACCATATGATCTAGCAACCCAACATCTGGGTAAATATCCAAAGGAAATGAAGTCACTATTTTGAAAAGGTATCTGCACTCCAATGTTTATTGCTGCATTATCCACAATAGTCAAGATATGAAAACCTAAGTGTTCATCAGTGGATAAATGGACAAAGCAAATTTTATATATATGAATAATATTCAGCCACAAAGAAAGGAAATCCTGCCATTTGCAACAAAATAGATGGACCTTGAGGATATTTTGCTAAGTGAAAAAAGTCAAATAGAAAGACAAATACTGTATGATTTTACTTATATGTGGTGTTTAAAAACATTAAACTTATAGCAACAGAGAGTAAAATGGTGTTGCAGAGAATGTCAGGTAGGAGAAATGGGGAAATATTGGTCACAGACAAGTTTTCAATTCTAAGATGACTAAGTTCTAGAGATCTGATGTAGAGCATGGTGACTCTAGTTAACACTCCTGTACTAAATACTTGAAAGTTGCTATGAAATTAGTTTTAATGTTCTTACCATAACAATAACAAAATAGTAGTTGTGTAAGGTGAAGGATTTGTTAACTAACCTTTTTTTTGTGGTAAACATTTCACAATATGTAAGTATATTGAATTACACATTGTACACCTTAAGCTAATGCAATGTTATATGTCAATTATATCTCAATAAAGATGGGAAAAAATGGAGATGAGTGAAAGTTTGCTAATCAGGTCAATTATAACACATTTTTTACTATTCTGTTTGAATTACCTGGATCAGAAAGTCTAGCAATCCTTCACTGATGAGAAAGTTCCTCTAGACATTGTAATAGGAATTTATGAAAATTTGACAGTTTTTTTTTTTTCTTGTTTTTACATTTATAGAAAGCGACAAACTCATGCTCATGACCCCATAACAGGCTCACTAAGTTACTATAGTTTCTCAAGCTTAAATATCCCATTCATATTTTTATAGAAAAGTATAAGCAATAATATTAATTTCAATCAATATGAATTTATGTCCAAAGTAAATAGAGAAGTGAGACTTGACTAAAACAAAGGCTCCCTGAGACTCATCAACCCAAGAGCAAGGAAGTTATTTGCCCATCCAGCACCTTGCTCAACTCTGACCACTTCCTCATTCTCCTGCCACAGGAAACTCATCCACATCTCCCACTATTTCTGAAGTTTTTCCTGAATCTCATACCTCAAAATTAATACTTCTTCAAATCACTTTATTATGCACCAGAGTAATCTCTTTGAGGACTTTTTTGTCAGTCTATCTCCCTAATAAATTTCAAGTAACTTGAGAACAGGAGCTATATCTTTCTTATCATTCAACTTTTAAAAAAAACATTTTATTTTGAAATGATATTAGATTGATGAGAAAATGCAAAAATAGTACAGAGAGGTCCCATGTATTCCTCACTGTTTCCCCAAATATAATATAATATGCTCTCGAAACCATGGAATTGATCTTGGTGCAATCCACAGAACTTACTCAGATTTGCCAGTTTTACATGCACTCTGCGGGGGGAGCTCAATGCAATTATATCACATGTGTACATGGTGTAACTGCCACCATCAAGACATTACTACAAAAATTGCACTTGTTCTCTCTGTAGTCAACCACTCCACCCACCCCCAATCTTTCTGAACCTAAGCCCTGGCAACCACTAATATGTTCTCTGTAATTGTATAAATCAAACTATGCAATATGTGACTTTTTGATAACTGGCTTTTTTTTCCCCCACTCATTATAATGCCTTGAGAGCCATCCAAACTGTAGCAGGTAAATTGTCCTTTCTTTGCTAAGTAGTGTCCTATGGACTCACCATAATTAGTTTAACCATTTACCCACTGAAGGACATCTGGGTTGTTTCCAAGTTTTGGCTTTACCTTTTAGCTTTTCAGTCCTTAGCAGGTGACTTGAAAATAGAAAACACTCAATTCAAATTCATTAATTTAAATTAATTGCTAGTCCTATCTAAGGCTGAATTCTGTGCTAATGTTATCTCTAAGTGTATATTGCCCTAAGGGGAAATGTCAGTTTTTCAACAAGTATCCAAGAACTGTACTACACAGTCCTTTACACATATCTTCATCTGACATCTAGAGATTGCAACACATTGATATGGTTCTCACTGCACTTTACAGTCCAAATGTAATTTAAGAAGTGCTAGAGTGAAAACAGATTTCTGGTATTCTTGACAGATGTTGAAATACTTCTTCCAAACAGTGTCAAGGTGTGAAAGGGCTTTAGCCCAGTCAAAACCTCCATCTGCACTATCACATCTCCCACAGAGCCAATCCAAATGAAAGTAATAATAACAACAACACTGCCCTGGCCGGTTTGGCTCAGCGGTTGGAGCGTCAGCCTAGGGACGGGAGAGACCCAGGTTCAGTTCCTGCTAAGGGCACGTACCGCGGTTGCAGTTTGTCCCTGGTCCTGGTTGGGTTGTGTGGGTGGTAACCACTCGATGTGTCCCTTCACATTGATGTTTCTCTCTCTCCCCCTCCCACTCTATCTGAACAAAATATCAAAAAGTGTCCTTGGGTGAGCATAAAAATAAATAAATAAATAAATAACAACAGCACTGCCCACTCATTTTAATTTGTATGTAAATTACTCTCCTAAGCAAATCAGTCAACTGAGCAGAGTGAGTTAATCCATTTGGAATACTATGTGCCCTTTATAAGCTTCATCAAAATACACACTTTATTTATTTATTTTTTATCCTCACCCGAGGACATTTTTCCATTTTTTGTACAGATAGAGTGGGAGGGAGAGAGAGGAAGAGAGAGAGAGAAACATTGACGTGAAAGGGACACATCGAGTGGCTGCCACCCGCACGACCAACCAGAGCCAGGGACAAACTGCAACCGAGGTAGATGCCCTTAGCGGGAACCGAACCCGGGTCTCTCCAGACCGCAGGCCGATGCTCTAACCGCTGAGCCAAACCGGCCAGGGCACCTTAGCTCTTTTAATATTGAAAATACTTAGTT